TTTTTTAATTAATTATCCTGGAACAAATAATGCTAATATTGCTCCTGTTGTGTTGCTGAAATGCTGCATGCTGTCTAAACCATCTTATCTAAATGGAAAAATAAAAAATCACAACGACATATACCACAACCTTCAGTCCTACAATTCTGAGACTGAAACTTACTGTTCATACAATCACAGACTTCATCGTGCTCAGTTGCTACCGCTTCAAAATAGAACTTGCCTGAACTGTTTTTTTCAGGGGACACTTTTAGTGCATAGTCAATGAATTGAACCCATAGTGTCAAAATTAGATTACTTTGGCAACTGAAAGACAAAACCTGATTTTGTTTCTAGAGGAAGGACACGAGCTAGAGATCTGGGATTAATTCAGTCCTGTAATCCACGACAAAAGTCTTCCAACACTTCCCCCCTGGAGAATCAGCTGTTTATAGGATTACTATAAATTGCTCTTCCTGATGGGTGTCTGTCTTTTAACATGTTACCAACTTGTTTTTTGATTTCTGTGTATATAGTTGTTGGGTTTTTTTTTCTTCTGGGCTCAGCATTACTACTTGTGTTGCTTCATACAACCTCATACCTACACCTTAAAGAGGAACTGAGTAACAAAAGATGAAATAATAATGCAAATTTCGTCTTTCTCTGCTTTCTTTTCACACTTGTTGATATTCTTGCTTCTGATTTCTTTGTTATCTTTTCCCTCCTCAACTAAAATGTTTTGTATCTTCATTTTCCCTTTAAAGAAACAGAATTTTTAACTGCACAGATTTAAGGTGTCCCCCTCCTACCAACCCTTTTCCTGAGGTAAGTTCTCCACAGATTTCCCAATGGGCAGGTGTGCACTAAGCAAGCTTCGCAAGTCTAACGAAACAGTTATGGGCTTTTGCAAGTGTAACTTATTCCACCTCCAATACCCTCCTCCCCCTGCTTACCTGAAAGAGAAGAAATCGCTACTGCTGGAGTCCGGTTTTCCCCAATGTATTTGCATCTCCACAGCTGTGTCAGCCAGGGACCACGCTTCCTCAGACTCTTGAGCAGCAGAGCTCTGCGAGACAGCTTCTCTTGTAGACATGGCCACGCTCTCTCCTCCTGGCTGCCTCCCCTTTCCAATCTGGTGCAGAGACCTTAGGCGTGACATCACTAACATCTTCCAATCTCATCACGTGACTTTTCCATTTAGTTGACCTGATTTTGATTTGTCATTACCTCTGCCCCTGGCAACGCTTCGTGCCAACTTACCTTTCTGGGTGACTACTGTGCATAAGTAGATGACACACCTGCTTCTATGCAATTTAAAGCTGGACAAGTGTATACTTCTATATTTGCAACACAAAATAAAGAGACGCTAACGGTGGCTGTTTGTTTCCCTCTTGGCCAAGTACTCTTTGCACACAGGTAAGAGGACTCTCCCTCAGGCTGAGAAGTGTTGCCAGTCCTGGAGGGTTGACTGCCGCTTCCCTGCTGCCACAAAAACCGCCCCATGGAACAGTTAAATGCTCAGAGTCTGCCAAGTGGCTTTTGACGTACCGTAGGCTATGAACTGAGATTTTTTGAGACAGAGCTGACCTCGAAGGAAGCCGTCAAGCTTTGTGTGAGTCAGGTTTGAAAGCAAACATACCTAATGGGTTTTGGAACCAAGCTCCAACACTAGCTTCTAGATGTCTTAGAACCAGGGGTTTTTTTTAGGAAAATACTAGATGCTAAAGACTAAAAGCACAAGAAACACTGAAATAAACAGGTTTTGTCCCTTCCCTAAGGAAATTCGTGACGAAAAGATATTGCTGTCCTGTGACCAAATTACAGTGGATGTCTTTTTTTCCTTCAGTCTCATTTATTTAGTAGCGTACACACTTCAGAGTAACAAGCACTCAACCAATACAGTCAATGTCAAAAGTGACCATGGTCAGCATTGCATTGTAGTGTTCAGAACGGATGCATGAGGATGATACAGGCCATTTGATCTCAGTACCTTAAGAATAACAAATAATAACAACAGCAATTTAATTAAAAAAAAAAAAAGCAAGAGCCCTCTGAGATACTTAAGGGTTTGGTCCAACTCCCATTGAAAT